TTCTTCTGCACGACAACGACGTTGGACAACCAATCAGGATAGTGTACTTCTCTGATGAATCCCGCATCGAGCAGCCTATCAACCTCCTCGGCTATGATCTGGTTACGTTCTGGAGCAAACCTTCGTTGCTTCTGCTTTACTGGTTTGAAATTGGGATTGACATTCAAGGAATGACAGGATACGGAGGGATTAATTCCAGGCATGTCTAGGTGACTCCATGCAAATACATCGGCATTGTGAGACAAGAAGTCAATTAGCTCCTGTTGTTCTTCCCTGATCAGTCTTACTCCTACTCTAGTAGTTTGCTCTGGCTTGGACTGATCGATCTGCACATCCAGAAGGGGCTCTTCGGTCAAGTCAACTGGCTCTTCCACACTATTCTGCTTGGGTGGAGGTTCCTGTAATTGCTATCTTGGGCTCGCCGAACGGATGGGCGCCTTCCCTTTCCCAGCATATTTTAGTGTGACGGAATAACACTCTTTGGCTGCAACCTGATCCCCATGAATGTCTATCACCTTATTTCCATCGGGTCCGAGGTACCTCATGACCTGATGCAGAGTTGAGGGCACACCTTGGACTCTGTGAATCCATCCTCTTCCCATCAGGAGATTGTACGAGGGGTGAATCTCCACAACCACAAAAGTTTCCATAAGAGCTCGTTCTGCAGCTTGAACTTCTACTTCCACCATACCGATGGGCTCCACCCTCTTACCATCAAATCCTAACAGGGGATTTCCAGTGGGCTTGAGCCTCTCTGGCTTAATCTCGAGCCGATCAAATGTGTCCCTTGGCATGACATTCACACCACTTCCGGGATCGATCAGAACTCTGCGCACCAGGCAGTTCGCCACTGTCAAGCTGACTACCAACGGATCTTCATGGGGGATTTGAACACGCAGTAGGTCTGTCCTGTCGAACTTTATCTGTATCGATGTGATCTGTTGGTGCAGAGTATTCACATTGCTGACCCTTTTCTTCATCTGCGCCTGCCGTAGGCGCGTTCGGAGTAGCTCATCTGAGTCTTCGCTAGGCTCGGGTCGACCGTGAATAGCATTGATTATACGAACTGGTTGTGAATTGTGGGAGCTTTGCTTCTGACTTCTTTTTACTTGCTCCATCGGTCGGTTCTGCTCTATCGCCGAGCCTTGGACATAACTCGCGAACTCCCCTCTAGCTATCAACATCTCCACTTGCCTTCTCAAATTCCTGCATTCGTTAGTCTGATGACCGAAATCGGAATGGAAAGCACAATGTTTAGTCTGATCCCTCTGTTCGAGGGGTTGCCTAATTGGCAGTGGTGGATGAAACTTATCTTTGTTCTCCTGATATAGCCAGAGTGACCTTCAACGGAGTGATTAGCTCTTCCTCCCTGTACCTCTTTTCTGCCTTCCAGGAGGTCTGACGTTGTGGCTGAGCCTGCTTCTGCCTGATCTTTGCCTTGGACTTTTCCTCGGTCGACAAGACCGACGCTGTCCGAGCATTGGCTGCCTCCTCTTCTTCCAGGAGCACAAAGCCATCGGCTCTTTCATTGAGTTCATCCATAGTCGTCGGCTTGTTCACTACCAGACTGGTATGGAACGGAGTGCCACGTGTCATGGCCAACTTGAAGGCTTGAACCGCTGTAGAAGGGTGGCATTCAATCACCATACTCTTAGTGAGGTTAAACCTGGTGAGAAAAGCCTGGAGACGTTCATCTTTGTGCTGTTTCATTGTGAATAGGCTCGAGATGTCCTTCGGCGAACGCTTGTTCCCATAGTACTGGCTTATGAACCGATCGCACAGGTTCCGGAAGCTATCAATCGAGCCCCTAGGCAAGTTCTTGAACCAGCTAAACGCCGGTCCGGCTAGACTTGCAGGGAAACATTTGCACATTAAAGAGTCGTTCTCCGTATTCAGAGCCATCTTCAACTGGATATGGTATACATGATCGATCGGATTGGTTGTTCCGTCAAACAGAATAAAACTGGCATGGCAAACTTCCTTGGATGCGGAGCATTCAGGATCTCATCAGTAAATGGTGAATCAACTGTCCGAGCCGCGGATCGGAGTGCTTCATTCTCTCTTTGGAGCCCAGCGGTAGCTCTATGAGCTACAGATCTGCTCTCCGAACCGCGATGAGTGAGTGTAGCCATGGAGGGCCGGTAAAACGAATCGAATGACCGTTCCTCAATGAGCTCTCTTTGCCAAGGCGATATAACTCGGCGGCGATCAACCTCTATCACTTCCTTTCGGTTGAACCTTTCCTGATGTGGATCGAAGGTCATGGCTTCGTTCTGTCTGATCTGCTCATGTCGCGGATCAACGTGAGTCGATCCTTCGTGATCCTCAACTCGACGAACATTTGGCGGGAAATCGTCCATCCTCCTTTCATCACGGTGGAGAGCTGATTGATTGTTCTCGTCCTGCTCGCCTTGATGTGCGATATTAGATTGAATACCTCCTTCACCGGCCGGAAGTGGACGTGGAACCGCCGGCATTTGCTGATGCTGCATTCCAGCTTTCAATTCTGCATTCTCTCTTTTGAGAGCTTCGATCAAGTTCATCAACTCCTCAAGCTTCGTTTGCTGGACAGCCTCCATCGGATTGGAGCTTTCACCTATCATTATTCCTGAACGGAGTAAAGGCATTAATCTCAAGTTCTTGAGTAGATCTGAGCTTCGTGAGCGCGAATTTTTCAAATCTGGACTCGAATTCTCCGAGTTATGCTTACGGTTGACGAGATCTGAATTCTCCGAATTCTAAATCCGTCAGATTCGGCCGCAATTGAACAACTCGTTGTTGCGTAGATCTGAAGCCACTTCCGTCAAAGCAACAGAACTAAAATTCCTCTAGAATAGGTCACAATCTCTCAGATCTGGATCCAACTCCCAAAGATCGAGTTTCGTCTTCACGAATTGGTCTGAATCCACGCGATATTGATCAATGATCAATCAATCTTCAACGATTCCCACAGTCGGCGCCAATTGAAGATGCAAGGAATTCATTTCCATTTTCTCTCTCTAGAATTCTTACACTTCAACAGAATGAATCTCTCTCTCCATTACTTCTCATATTTATAGGTATTTACAAACATTAATGGGTTGCTAGATCTGGGCCTGTTCCTCTGTGGGCTTTGGTCATCTTCGATGGGCTATTCACGTTCGGCCCATATGGCAGTATTTCTTTATGGACTGGACCCAGCTACTCGGACCGGATGCCATGTTCGCGGGTTATATCCGGCCCATATCACTTCTGGCTTCCTCAATCTCTATAAGCTTTTGCTAATAACCCCAGTGAATCTCAAGCTTCCAGTAATTATTTAATTGACAGCAGGTTACTTTCCTCTGTATTGTAGCTCTGTAGTCGTAATTGGATCTGCTAGATGACCCCAAACTTGCTTTTCTGTCCTTCGAAGTGGTTTCTTGAATAGATCCAATCTGCGAAGAAAATGAATCCAGTTGCAATTCCATTCCATTTGCCCTTTAGCAGGGAATGGAGCAGAGCTAAGCATCGAACTTAAATCTTGTAGCAGGTCTCTTTTTGTTGAGTACAACAACTGTGTAAGCGGTGATTGCCAAAGTAGCCAAGAGAAGAAGTATCAAATTGTTTACATTCTCCTGAGTCTCTATATGAATAGTTCTGATTTTAGTATGAGTTTGCTCCAATTATTGTGATGCTTGAAAAAAGGCCTCTTTTGTGTACCTGGTAAAAAAATAAACGGCTGGAGCTTTAAACCAAATGCTATGCTGACTCGTAAACCTAGAGCTAAGTGATGGTATGGATGTGAAATTTGTCTCTGGGGATAACTGCAATTATTGCTTCATGTGGTCTTGCCAAAGCTTCTACTGTGATAGCATGGCTCCTAGGGCTCTTGCTCCAAGAACCGCAGATGTCATTCCTTCTGTACGCAGCTCGAGTGACGAAGGCCCCCTTCGACAACCCTAAAGTTGTTAATTCCCTCAAGGACGCATAACTTAGAAAGTTTACTGGTAAAGGGTTTTCATAGGTTTTTTTCACAGGCTAGTTTCATGGGCTGTCGTTGATTCTCAGAGAAGTGGACAAGAATTCTTGATGCATGGAAAGTTGATAAGAGTGGAATTGTGGTAAGGGCATAGATATAGATATGTTACATTGTTATGGTAAGAGTTTAGAGTTTTGATTTGTTTAGGGGAGGTCTTTGGTTTTATGTTTGCTTGAGCTCTGCCTCACTGTCACACCATCAAATGGTAAGTCTGGATCATTTAGTTTACTTCTTACGGAACCAAATCTTTTTCACCTAAAAACCAACTAATCAAGAAGTTCTCAAGTCTCTTTTTGGTAAGTCAAGTGTTCTGTATTTCTATTTTTCAATTTTAGTGATTCGTAGTTTAGTACGTTCCAAAGCTTTTGAATGACAAAATGTGTCATACTGACTCTGAAAAATACGAAAACATGAAGAGAAAGCCAAAATCTTGGGTGCTAATTCTTCAGGCAAAAAGCAGTTTTTACTAGTATAATTTTTTTCTTGCATCAGGCTCAAGGAATGCAGCGGAACATGATATAGTAAATTTAAAGATTGAAATACTTAAAATGTTTTGAAGATAATAAAAATAAAAAAGGCTAAGCATTTTTACTTTATATTTATAAATAACTTTCAACCAGATAAAAACAAATTATAACACCCAAATACATCCAACTCAAATTATGAATCATATTCGACGGAACCAATTAAACTGCACCAATGAAATTAATAAGCTGACATCATTGAATAGTGTTGGTTCTTAAAGACAGTTTGGATCTGTGGCTAAAAATAGTATAAGATGGTACTATGATTCTGATTATGGCTTGAGTTAACTTGTAGGTTTTAATATCACTCATATATTATCCACCCCACTTTTAGGACATTTAAGTCAACACTCTCTGGAGTTTAACCTTTGCTTTGACTCATCTTTTAAAATTTGTTGTGGAAAAGAAAGAAAAAATTTAAAAACATATTTTATACATAAATCAGATTGAATTACCGAATTTACTGAAAAAAAAAAAAAAAAAAAAAGGAAAAATGAAAGTACAAATTTTAGAGAGTGTTTTTCCCATTAACCAGTTAAAAATTAGCCTCAGCTCATCATGTCTGTTTTATGTGTACGAACTAACTGTGAATCTTCTGTGTGTTGCAACCAAAGACTCTCTCTCTCTATAATATAGATATATACATGGCATCATCAGTCACTCGTACCTCCTCTCTCTCTTCCTCCTTTCCACGAACCCTCTCTCGCTCTACCAATTCTCATCGCAAAATCAGTATCCCCCAATTTCAGCTTCACCGAACCTCTCCTATTCAAGCTTCCAGACGAATCTCCAATTTCCCACAGGTTGTTCCTACTCTCTATATCTTCGTGTGTATATATATATATATAGATATATATGTATCTGATAGTGAGAGCGATTTGAAAAGGCATTTTAATTAAGCATCGTAATTTGTACAGGAAGGCAATAACTTGGTGGATGATCGTCCCAATTGGAGCCGCAATCGCGGCGTCGTCATTGAAGAGTATGACGATGATGATCAAGATGAAGACGATGATGATGAAGAAGAAGAAGAAGATCGGAGTTTGGATCTTCTGGTTAGGTTTGTCCAGAATGTGTTCAAGAAGATTTCAAAAAAGGCGAGGAAGGCCGTTCGATCTGTTCTGCCTCTCAACATCTCCACCAAATTGGTATGTCTCAGCTATCATTTCTCATCTATCAAGTATCAACTCATTCCCTTTGGTGTAGTGTGTATTGTATCAGGGTTATGCATCAATTTACCTCAAGAATGTATCACATTTGGAAGATACTGGGAACCAACTGTTTTTTGTAACAGTTTGCACAATTTGGGGAAAAAAGAGAGTTGCAATTTGAGTTGAGGGATATGCAGGAGTAATACAAGACTGATTTTAATATGTGGGATTATTTGGGGTTCTGTTTGTTCAATTTGGATTTTTTTTTATTTTTTTTTATTTTAAAAAGCCTGATTTGCTGCCATTTTTTGGACTAATTGAGTAAATAAGCACTCTTGTAATTATGCATAAATTATTAAAAAAAAATTAAAAAATTTAGTCTAATTGCTACAAAAGCTTTCAGATGATTCAGTTTTAAGGTTTTTTTTTCCTTCTTAATTTCAGAACAATTTATGCAAATGAAACATCAAGTGAATGGTTGTAGATGCCGATAATGTTGTTTAGGCTTTATTGTGGGTTTTCAAAGGTTTGCTAACTTTGCTTTGGAAGATCATGATTTTGTGGTCATTGAACTTCATTCTTTGGAGTGTGAGGCATATGTTACATCTGATGGAGAAAGAAAAGGTGTCTTTGGACACTTTATATAAGAATATGGATGTCCAAGATCCAAATTGAAAATGCCATCCAGCAAGGAAAAAATGATACACTTTTGTTCAACTGTCCTTTACTGCTAAAACATACTTTGGTGACACATGTCATTGAAGTTTGTGTCGCTTAGCATGATTTTTCAAAGACCAACATAAATTCATCAGTAATCTTGTTTGAATAAATATATGGTCTTGAGATTTATTCATTTGTTTCTCTGAAAAGTTTTAAATTTTATTGCAATTTATGAACCTAGTGGTATATTATCTCAGATTATTTATGTTCATTTCAACTAGTTGGGCCTGTTACTTTTTTTTCCCTCATGAGATCAACAATCTATTCTTTGTTCAACATAGGTGGGGTTCTCTGTTAATGGAGTCATAATTCTGGCATTTTTGTGGGTTTTGAAGGCATTTCTTGAGGTAATGTATTTTTTCTTTTAGATGCACGCTTGTGAATATTACTTTATGCCATTCTTGATTTATTATCTGAGAATGGAAATTCCATTTCTCTGAGAATGGAAATTCATTGCATGCTATTTAGATTTTGCCCTTAGTCCAAAGGTTGAAACTTTTGTCTTCTATATGTCTATTATTATTATTATTTTTTATTTGGTAGGCAATTTTGTACATATTGTATTTATCACAAAAGATGTACAAGGTAGATGGGACCATGTTCCCTGTACAAAGCAGGGAGAATAACAATATCGATAGACTTTCTTTGGGAAGTAAATACTAACGGAACATGGGACATAGGAAGTGGCACGAGAAAGCAAGGATAGCTATAACAGCAAAAATATAGCAGCAATAGGCATATATATTTTGATATAAGCTATAAGGCTAATGTGAATAGGGGTAGCGCATGAAATGTACATGAATTACATAATTTTGATTCGTGACTTGTTGGGTCTTTGCCTTATATTTTTGGTAGGCTTAATTGCTACTTGGTCTTAAACTACTTGTGAAAATTTCCTATGTATTTTGAACTAAGGAGCTCTTTCATATTTGGTTATATACATTTTTAAAATATATCTTAACTATTTTAATTCTTTTCAATCATGTGCTAATGTCAGTGTCAAAGATAGAGTACCAGATTTTTTCTGTTCAATCCAGTGCAAGAAGAATTGAACATTTTTGGTGCAATTTCTCTGAGGCGCATATTAGTACATTCTATTGGAACAATAAATAAGAATTTTGTGTATATTGATAAGTTTAACTGTTTTAAAGAAGACGCAAATATGTCATATCAATACATTCAAGAGGGCCTCTCTATTATACTAACTAAACTCCTAACTTCCAACCACAAACTTCCTGTCGTCAAAATTTTCATATAACTGATCAGATCACCAAGAGGATTTAGACAGGTCAATCTGCATGTTATTAGATTGTTAGTGGTACACACTTGTGAATAGACTTATTAATGCTACTGCTTTTGCTTCATGCTTCTACTTTGTTGTTACTTTTAGCTTTTCACATGTTTCATTGGCATCAATTGGAGCATCTGTCCTTTCCCCCAATCCAACCTTGTCAATTTATGATTGATTCAGTACTACTTTTATTTGCCTAATTCACCAAAACTGAAAAAAAAAATAGCCAAATTACAACATATCTTCCAGTTACCAACATTATAATTTTTCTAAGTACTTTTAGATTGTAGGCACTTCTTTTGAGTTTAGGATTGTGTTTTTCTACCCTTAATTATTATTATCACTTGAATATGGTGCCTTTACTAATTCTAATTTTGTATACTAACTTAAAGGTAATAAATGATAAAATATTATTTTGAATTAGTTCAGGCAACTATTGAAGATAACTATCGATTCAGTCATTCTTTTGTACCCCTACAGCGTAGACCAATGGCCCGGTGGTAAATTGAAGAACTGCAGTGCTTTACTTTATTGTATGGCAATTTACTTACAGAAATTCGATATGACCATACTTGACATCTAGACTAACAAGATAGTGCACATGCCTGATAAAATCATCCACCAATGGTCAAAAAGCACTTAAATGTCATCTCTAGTTAAAATAGGCACTGATGGTCAAAAGATCAAAGGAAAACTTAACTAATAAGACAAATTTGAAGTGCAGAACTCTTTACTGAAACTTCCCCTTAAATCTACTTGACAGAGGATAAAAGTGATCCCTAAAATTGAGGAGAGTAACTGCTTTCTCTCTTCGCCTTGGAGTCGGTCTATGTAAAAAATAACCATCTCTCTTGTAAAAAATACTAATAAATACCTAATCTCTTGAATGAAATGATTATATTTCCATGTTCTTTTATGTCTTGAGGAAATAACCATTATCTGGTTTCCATATGCTGGGTGGGGTGGACTAGGTACAGGCTTAACCTTTGTCATCTTTTGGAAAAAATGGCTGCCCTAACACTCGAAACCAGCATCGCGACAGTTGATTCTCTTAGCTTTTTTCATTGGACCAAGTAATGACCCCCTCTATTAGTCTCTTAGCAACAAGAATTTATTGAATTGTGCATCTTTATGTTGTTTCCTCCATCCACAGTTGTGAAATGACAGAACTTTGATATTTTCTGCTCCTGTGTTTTGCCTAAAAGGTTATTCAAAAAATTGCCATGGTGTTCTCAAGTTTCTCAGAATTTGAAGTGTGACGGGACTCAACACTCTCTATTTAATCTATGAATAAAATAGTGTGGAAATGGATTGAGAACAGATATGTTTTTGCTTTGTCCTTGTTGCAATCCATAGGGAAATTTTTTTGCTTTGCACTTTATAAAGATGAAATGAATTATATGAAGTTCATGTTCTTTGTGAAAAGCTCGGTCTTAGACTGGCAGATTAGCTTCTTGTCAGTCTTCATCATCTCATGTTAAATTAAACAAGCAGCAACCAAACTGTTTAGATAATAACAATTTGCGGTTTAGCCCATGGTAACTAAAGACTATTCAAACCTAGACGTCTAGTTTTTGTGTGCGTATGTTGAAAGTAGTATGATTGTCCCTGTCTCTCATTGCTGCTGCAATGTTTTTCTTTTGTCCCTGGGCTGGGCTGCTTGTAGCCTTCCTGGGTTGTCGCCTTTGGGCCGTGGGCTTTAGCCCTTCCTTCGTATAGTTTCCGCTTTTCCTTTTTAATGAATTGATTTACCGAAAAAAGAATAAAATAAAAAAAGTTGGAACTGCAGTCATGGTTCTATAACCTTGATATGCAAGGTTTGGAAATATGTATTCGGCATTCCAACAGTCCAAAAATACTTACTAGCAATGGATGCCTCTTTTTGTATATTTCGAAGATGATGACATATATCCATATTTCTTTAGAATGTAAATCAATATGAATTGAGATTCGTAATATGATTAGTTACTGCATTTTCTCTTCTTTTTTTTTTTTTTTTTAAACTTCTTGTATGTTTGTATTATATTCAGGTGATTTGCACCCTAGGGAGTGTAGTGTTTGTGAGCATCTTACTTGTCCGCGGTATCTGGGCTGGCGTGTCCTATTTACAAGAAAGCCGCAATCTTAAGGTTAATGAATTTGATGCTGAGCACCATGCTTGGACTGGTACACGGCCTGCAACTTGATATGTCCACCCTTTAAAGAGGAAAACTTTGAAGGATGATCCAAAAAGGCAATTGCAGCAAATTTTCAGGAAGGGAAACACGCGAACTTGAGGATGCTGAGAAGATGGCATCAAAATTGTATCCATCTTTTGGTGAATTCTTTTTGAACTAGCAAAGAGTGTTCGTAGTAAATGCTGGGACGAGCACAAGGGGCAAGCAACACCAGCACTTTTTTTCCTCATTTTAGTGTACAAGTAAAAGCACCGTGGGCAGAACTCTTTGTATAACCGTCATTTAAAAAATTACAAATGGCCAAAAACAAATATTATAAAAATATATATATTTTTTCTTCATAGTTCCAGTTTTCATTTGAAGTATGTATGATTGTACTTGAATGTTTTTGCCAACATTAATATAAAGAAAATATATATATATTCAATATATATTATGCTTCCAGTGTTTTTGGGTCAAGTGCAAAAAATACTTTTAAAGTATGCTTACAGTGCGCAAAAAAACACCTATAAAGTTTTAATTTGATGCAAATAGGTCCCTTTGACTAATTTAAATCCTAAGTTGACTAAATTACCCTTAGAATCATTTTATAAAATATATACAAATAAATAATTTTGTAAAATGACTGAAAATGACACTATTGGAGGATGTCTCTCTCGTGCAAAAAAAACTCTTAAGGTTTCAATTTGGTGCAAATAGGCTCATCTGACAAATTTAAATCCTAAGTTGACTAAATTATCCTTACTGAACCATTTTAAAAAATATATAAAAATAAATAATTTTATAAAATGTCAGAAAATGAGACCATAGGAGGACATCTAGGGATGGCAACGGGGCGGGTTTCCCTAAATCCTACCCCGCCCCTTTTAATTTTTGTTAAGTCCATGCTCGCTCCGAGATTCGCGACAGGTTGGATTTTCATGTCCAGCCCCGCCCTGTTGGGAAATATTGTGCCCCCTTACCCGCCCCGCTAACAAATTTTTTTCTCCCACTTTTTTGAACTTAAACTCCTGCTACTTAAATGTAGAAAGTTTGGGAATGGCACAACATAAATGAAATTGTGTATCCCAACAAAAAAATAAATAAATAACATGCACATAACATAATTCAGAGAACATAATAAACAAAAATAAAAGTTTAATACAATCAAATCATAAGAAGTTCTAAGCTCCAACTTTCACCATAAACAAAACAAAAACATATTTAATACCAAGTTTACATCCCAAATTAGGATTGTAAGAGATGGGTAACTAGGTAAGCCGCTAAAATAAGTTATTAATATTATATTATATATATATATTAAATATAATTATATGCTTAGCGGGGCGGGGCGGGGCGGGGCGGGGCCCCTAGGATATGTATACTGAACCCTTACCCACCCTGTGACCCACGACAGGTACAAAATTTGTATCCATGCCTGCCAAAACGGTATAAAAAGTATTTCCATATCCGTTATTAGTGGGGCGGGGCGGTAAAAATTGACATCCCTAAGGACGTCGACAATGGACAAGTAAATATAAAATAAAAGTAAAGATAAAAATAGAAAATAAAAAAAATGTAAACTAAATAAAACAAAAATTTTTAAAACTTCGAAAATTAGTGCACATTGATATTGAGAATATTTTTTCAACTTTTTTATTTTGTTTAACAATGTTGGTACGAAAAAAAATTAAAGAAAAAAAAATTTAGTAGAAAAAAGTAAACCGAAATCTCAAAAAATTTAAATCCTTGTCCTACAAATTCTCAAAAGTTAAAAAAAAAAAAAAAAAATAAATGTTTAGATATATATATAAAGAAAAAAGTTTCAAAAAAGAAAAAGAAAAAGGTAATGTGCACATAACACCCCTATACTATGAGATTAGTAGCATATATACCCCCTTGGACATTTTCAGAAGAGTAAAAAGTCAAAATCGGTATTACAACACTAATTTATGTCAGAAGGGATATTTTGTACAATGTAAAAAGATTAAGTGTGTTTTTTAGACACTTTTTAAAATAGGGGTAAAAGTGGTACGCAAAATATACTTTAGGTGTTTTCTACACTTGTCTCTTTCACTGTTACCAAAGGAACTTCATATTATTTATTTATTCTTTGAAAATTGTTGATTTTTTAATACTGAGTCTATGATTACTATCTTATATTTGTTTTTTTTTCCCACCTTAAGAAAATAGCCAATTTTCAATTAATTAGATAATAGGATATATATAATTGTATTGTATTATCGTTAATTAATTAAGTTGAAAAAGTAAAAAGTATGGAAGTATATGCTTTGATATATATAGATTAGAACTGAGAAAAATGTTCTTTAGCCTTATTTATGTGGATATAATTATATATATGTGCATTTATATATATATATATATATATATATATATATATATATATATATATTGTTCAGAGATTGCACCAGGTGGGAATATTGTTCAGATCGAGATTGTTCAGAGGACTTTAGTATGTTGGAGATTTTGTTTTGTGCTGGTCTCAGAATCGGTTAAGGATGTCTGCACGATTTTTTTGTTTTTGTTTCATATATGCACACGCCACGCTGTTATGCATTCCTGTAGTACTATTTCAAAAATTGAGAAAAAGAAAAGCCCTTGGCACTACCCTTTTGGTCAGATCTGAAAATCACCTACAAAATAAAAAATGAATTCAACTTGAAAATTTTGTTTGTTATTAATCGACATGATTGGTTAAGAGTGTAATTTTTGGTTTTAAAACATTAATACCAAAATAAATTAGCAAATAATGCACAAATAAAAATATAATATCGAGTAGAAAATTGGTATTTGAATGAGAAAGAAAGAAAATAGAGACGAAAAAAAAAAAAAAAATGATAAAAAAAACACCATTAATAATATGTGAATATTACAAATTATGACATTTATATTCCAGTAAATATATAATATATATAGCATATTATTTATTAGATTATATCTTATGGAATAATTAAGTATTGATCATTCATTTTGTTTGACTAATAGATTATTGGATTCAGATCCAAGTTATCAAATTTTAATTATTAAATTCAGATCCAAGTTATCAATTTGAATCAAATATTTCAGATTAAAACCAGATGTATTTAGAAGAAAAAAATATTGGTGATGGGTAATATTTTTTGGTGACTAATTCCCTATTCAAAGAATTGGTGATGGGTAATATTTTATTATTATTATTATTATTATTTTTTGGAAGGTATGGGTGATACTCTTTGATTAGGAATACGACAATATTTTTTTATAAAACAAATTAGGAAATAACAGACTTATTAAGTAAGGGAATAATAATAGGAAAGTACAATCATTAATATAAATTTATAATAATATTATATTATAACACAAGTACTAAAGATGCTCGTGATACTTTTTTAGCGATTTTTAGTAAAATTACTAATTTTTATTATAAACGTTTCTAAATATGTTAAATATTCATCTCTACCCTTTATTTATTTTGTAATTATATAAATCTATTTTAATTAAATATTTATAGCCAATTTTAATCTGGTCTAAAATGTTTTAAAAAATAAAATAAAATAAAATTACAAACCAAATATTAATATTAAACATGTTTGAATAAATTAAAGAAAAAAATTGGAATTTTGTTTGGGCCCGAACGTGCCTTACCGTCCTAAGTCTTACCCTCTCAGTCGAGAGGGGCTGCATATATTTCTATTTCTATCTTTTAATTAGCCCAAACCCCTTCCTTCTCCTCCACGTGCTAACGTGTACTGATACCGTCGTTGGTTGCAGCTCGCTGTGTAAAATGCTCTGCGCACCAATTAGTTTGAAATTTGGGACTCCCGCCCTAAAGATGATTCATTTCAGTCACGCCTATAAATACACATCATCTATCATCTAGTTTGAAATTTGGGACTCCCGCCCTAAAGATGATTCATTTCAGTCACGCTTATAAATACACATCATCTATCATCGAGGATTACATTTTTGGTATTATGTACACACGCACATACACATACACTCTAACAAATTCAAACTTATTCAAACATAGGTTTGCATTTATGTTATTATGTGTGCATATATCTATATATTGTCTTACGATTCCTCGCGCTTTAAGCAACTCTCTCTCTACACAAACACATACACTCTTCCTACACATACACATACACATCCTGAGGAACATTTGAAATTAATTTCATCCTGATTTACATTTATATATATATAGGATTCAAAATTGGATTCATACTTTGTTTAGGTCGTTGATTATCTTCTCGAGGTTTACATTTGTGTCCGAATAAAAATTATGTGTATATATATATATATATATTGTATTACAATTCCTTGGAATTGATTCTCACGCTTTAAGCAATACACCCCCTGCACACCCTTAACAAATTTCTCTCTACATGTCAAATTTATACTCCCATCCTGATTTCTGATATTTCTGTTTGAAAGTAAAGCCACGTGATACATTCTTCCGGAATATTGTATTCCATTTACAATATTCCGGAGAAATGTATCCAAATTGACGTGTCAGCAAACTGGTCCAAATTTTGTTTTTGGCTGTTTCGGGTCATTTTTAGGCCGATTTGGACAGTTCAAAAACCTGTTTAGCTTCTTAGCTAAACGGACCGTTCCGGACGCAACCGCGACGTCCTTTTATTCAAATTCAGCTCCAATTTGTCAGAATCAAGCACCCAAAGTGCTAAAGCAAACGATGGCATCCTCCAACAATTTCTTCCAACCCCAGCTTCCGTGTTTGGACAAAGACAACTACGAGAATTGGTGTATTAAAATGAGAGTCCTCCTTGGCTCACAAGACTTGTGGGATTTGATTGAAAATGGATATGATGAACCAGTTTCAAAAAAAGGAAGTAGATGACTTAAGCGAAGCCCAGAAGGCAGCGCTCAAAGAAGTCAGAAAGAAAGACAAGAAGGTGTTATATCTACTTTATCAAAGTGTCCACGAAGCAAGTGAGATTTTGAGAAGATCTCCGCCATCAACACCTCCAAGCAAGCATAGGAAATCCTTCGCAAAGCACATCGAGGGATTGAAAAAACAATCAAAGTTCGACTCCAAGTTCTAAGGGGTGAATTGAAAGACAATGCGTCAATTTATGAATACTTCACCAGAACATTGACTATCGTTAATCAGATTAGAAGATATGGAGATAGGATCGAAGATGTTCGTGTGCTCGAAAAGATTATGCCATCTCTCAACTCAAAATTTGAGCATGTTGTTCGCCCCTTAGAACTTGGAGTCAAAAAAATACATAGAAAATATAATTAAAAAAATATCGAGTTCCTAGACATGACTACGATGTAACAATCCAAAATCAAACTGGAAGGAATGTAAAATGAAAAAATCATAAAGAAAAAAAAAAA